TCGCCGCCCCGAAGATACGGCAGCGAGAGAGGCGGAGCTGTTAGCGGGTTACAGGGTTGCCAAGAGGACCCTTCAGGCAGCGATAAAGCGGGCCAAGAGCGAGGCCCGCCGCGAGATGCTGGAGACACTGGAGCGGGATCTGTGGGGACACCCCTATCGTATGGTTAGGGGCAAGATGCGCCCATGGGCCCCGCCGCTCACCCGGTGTCTTCAGCCAGAGCTGCTTGAGAGGGTCGTTGGCTCCCTGTTCCAACGCGAGTGGTGGAGCATACTCCGCCACAGATGGCTCCGCCTCCGGCGCTTGAGGCGCCTAACGTGGATGACGACGACGTGCCTGATGTCACTGGGGTGGAACTAAGGGTGGCGGTGTTACGGCTTAAAGTCAAACACACCGCCCCGGGACCCGATGGCATTCCTGGCCGAGCGTGGGTCCTGGCCTTAGTCGACGAGGCTCTCGAGCCCCGACTGCGAGGGTTCTTCAGTTCATGCCTCAAGCGGGGCCAGTTTCCGAAATTGTGTAAGACGGGGAAACTGGTTCTCATCCGAAAGGAGGGGCGCCCGGCGGACTCACCGTCTGCCTACTGGCCCATAGTGTTGCTTGACGAGGTATGCAAGCTCTTTGAAAGAGTGATTGCAAGGCGCCTCGTCAAGCATCTCGTGATGTTTGGGCCGGATCTGGCTGACAGCCAGTACGGTTTCCGTCAGGGGCGCTCCACCGTGGATGCGATCATGCGCGTGAAGGCTCTGGCGGAGGAAGCAGTCTCCCGGGGCGAAGTGGTGTTGGCAGTGTCCTTGGACATCGCCAACGCGTTCAACACTATGCCCTGGAGCTGCATCAGGGAGGCGCTCGTGTATCACGAAGTGCCTCTCTACCTCCGCCGCATAGTCGGGGCATATTTGTCGGAGAGAGCCGTCGTCTACCCCAGTAGGACCGGTCTCGGTAGGCGTGAAATGTCGTGCGGTGTTCCGCAGGGGTCGGTGTTAGGGCCACTCTTGTGGAACATCGGCTACGACTGGGTGTTTCGCGGTCCCTTCTTGGATGGTGTCGCCGTCGTGTGCTACGCGGACGACACATATAACTCTGGCACCGCTGTATCGTCGGCGGTACGTATCCCCCGTCATCCAAAGTCGAGTTAGATGCAAAGAATTTGCCTAGGAGATCAGCTTTCTCCTTGGCATCATAGGCCAACGAATTATCTCCTATATCTGCAGGGGTAGAAAGGATTTATCGTGCGGAGCGAGAGTGCGTGGAACTCTGCCGTCTCCTTCTGCGAGCAAGTTATGCTCGCGAAGGAGACGGCGGAGCGGGACCGGGAGAGGTTTAGGACTCTCCCGGCCCGCCAGGCCCGGGAACGGGCCAGGTACCGCAGGCGCCGGAGGTCGCAGAACGACCTCCGTCCTCCATAAGCGCAGGCCTGGGGGTGACAGGTGAGGCCATCTGGCGTGACAACATTTGCTCAAAATAGTGTCTGCCGAAATTTAATGTTTTTATTTTGCTTTGAAAAATGTTTAACACCAATATATTGGCATAAACGTAATCCTTACTTACATGTTACATTAAAAAAAATCTCATGTTTTTCCAATTAACCGTGGCACCCTTTAATTGCGCAAACTGTCATTTTGTATTAAAATTACGAGAGCTGTTAGCACTACAATTTGAATTTAAGCACCGACACCCGCCGTTCGTCAACTAAACGAAAATGGCTCAGTGTTATTTGCCTTACTTTTCGTGCGTATCCTCGGATTCTATGGGTTATTTTTCAAAGCAGACATACATTTTATGGACTTTATAAAGGTTTCAACACGTGGGAAGTTTTTATACAGATCTAGGTTGAATTAAATAATAAATCTTTCATATGGCTTTCTTTCTTTTTTTACCATGGTAGAATTTATTATTCCCTTTGCTTATAAAACTAACATATAATGTAATTAGGGCAATTAATTTCTACACCCGGGATGTTTTTTTAGATCTACATGCCTCTATTAGCTAACAAAGCACACATGCCATGTTTGTGTTCCAATGGTCGTGCCAGTAATAGGAGATGACTATAATCTTTCTCAATATTTTTTTCAAAAATATCTTCGGTTTTGGAATGTTGATATAACCAGTCTAGGTCCTGTTTAAGGCTACTACGTTTTTACGTACGATGGACCGAATCATTAACAACATCATTTTGTCAATTGCTTTTAACATTAACCAAAGGGGTTAACAACTCTTAGAGAGAAATAAAATGTAGAGTTACGAATTACAATTTTGTACATTTTTCAAAAATACTTCAGACACTCGAACAAAAGTAATCGTAAGACAAATCTCACACAAGCTAGACTTCTTCAAGTTTGTAACATGGATATTTAAGGACTGAATTCTGTTATTCGAAAACTCTCTAAACTAAAAATCACTTAAATTAGTTTAGTCCTGTCAAACAACGTTTCGTGTTATGAAAACGTAGGACTTAAATATTTTTTTAGTTTGACACTATCATAATTAGTTAAGTTACTTAATTTTGTATAGGCGACCAAGAAATTGGTTTACCACTTTTGATGACATCTCCCAGTAACATAATTATTCGCTAAGGATTACTGTATTACATTAACGTAATTGGTTAACTGTGAGCCAATCACAGAGCAATGGTTAAAAGAGCATGCAACTTGAACTGTGATGTCAATGCAATAGAGAATAATTTATGTAAACACAAACCAACTTGTCCTTATAAATCAAGGAGGTTTATTCTAGATACCATACTTAAAAAAAACTAATTCATTTTCGAATCGCTTTTGACTTATGATCTGTCAAGTGTCAGTTATTGATCAACTCGAGTCACTTACTGTCAAGAAAATGTCGCGTAATTTAAACTTACAGGAAAGAGCCGAAATTATATCATTACATCGGTTAGGATACAACATAAGTGATATTTCTAGAGAACTGAACATATCGCGATATACGACACGTTTTTGGATAAGACGTGAAGGGGAAGAAGGTAATCTTCAAGATCATAGGCGAAGTGGTCGGCCGCCTGCACTGTCCAGCGAGCAAAGAGAAACAATGAGACGTCAGTACGAAGAGAACGGCTTCACTTCTACCAGCGATTTTGCAGAAGAATTCGATGTTACGAAAGAGACCATTCGGCAGCATTTGCATAGTATGGGATTGCATTACAGACGTCACGCTAAAAAAGTTTATTTGACCGACGCTAACAAAGCGGCTCGTTTAAATTTTGCCCGGGAGTACTTCAATTTCGATTGGTCTACTACGATATTTACGGACGAAAAAACGTTCCAATCTAGCCAACATGGTCGAATGACTCTCTGGCGTTACAATAATACTAGATACACTCAAGAACATGTTGTGCCGACCACGGAGTCTGGTAGAATCAGTGTAAATATTTGGGGCTGGATGTCGGCAGATGGAGTCGGAGAATTAAGCAGACTACCTCCGAAATCCAACGCTTTAGATTATGTGGATAATTTAGAAAATGCTATGTTGCCAACCGTCCGGAACGTCTACCCGGAAAGCGATCTGCCTCAATTTAATTTTCTACAAGACAACTGCAGATTACACACAGCTAGAGTGACTCGTACCTGGTTTGATCAACATTCATTCATTCATTAACTTGATTCCATGGCCGTCTAAAAATCCAGATCTTAACCCGATCGAAAACCTTTGGGGACTTATGGTGCAGCGATGGCATCACCGCAATGAGAGAACTCGAGATGCCATCGATAGTCATTGCCATGAAGTTTGGAAGGCTTTGCACGGGACAGACATTTGTTCACGCCTCCTTGGCTCTATGAGAAGTCGCTTGTTAGCAATCACCGAAGCTAATGGTGGAAACACGCGTTATTAGGCTGATATTTCCCCATATTTTTTTTTTACAATTAAGTGATACTGTTACGTTTTATGAAGGACAATAAATTTATGTTATTTTTAAATGATAAATCATTGTTTATTATTAATCCTAAAACTCTTTACGCTACTAGCAGGAAATGGGACGTTTTTAAATCTATTAAAAACATATATAATAAAGTTTAATGCCCTGGATCCAAAATTCAATTATTTTACGTCGAAACTAAACAAAACGTTTTATTGCACATAGAGTAGCAGGAGGTTAAATTGCAAGCCATCAGTTCCGAGTTTAAATAAACAGGAATGACAGATTCTGACGTGGCAGTTATTAATCTGTCAAGCGAAAATAGACCTTGAAGTTTTGTACGTGCAAATGATATTCAGCCTTAGAGTGGTAAACCAATTTCTGGGTCGATAATACATAATTATACTAGCTGTCCCAAAACAAAGTTTAGGGATATGTCGATCGGTAGCCTGGCTCTTGGGAATTTGGTGGAGCGATGGAGCGTTTCTCGGAAACGGATTGTGCGTTGTGCAATTGGTCAATTGGTGCAAGAACCCCTCAAAATGCAACTCAGAGTTTAGAATTCGTAATTGAACGGTTACTTGTTCGCTTGTTTTCGAATGAAGCTCATTTTCACCCTAATGGCCACGTAAATAATCAGAACTGCCACTACTCGAGTGCAACCAATTCGAAACGCAAGCATCAGAGACCGCATCGTTCGCCAAAGGTGACCGTATGGGCTGCTATTTTGATTTATTAGGATACTGCCAATGCGTATCTGCACGAGCTCGTGGATAAATACATAGCAGGCTATCTCGGTCGTCGAGTGCCGCATGTTAATGTGTTGTCTCTAAGAATTCTGATACTACCCTAGACTATTATACCATTTTAGATAGCTGATAATTTGTACATGTGCAATTCAACTGACGTAGATTTTTTTTAAATATTGCACAAAGGAAAAACTTATTTAAAAGAAAAATATTTTGCTATTATTATCTTTTATAAATATTAGGTAAAATTTCGGAAATTTACATATAAAGTCAAATATCTTGAAAATCGTTAGGATTGGGATATGGTATTTCATAGTGAAATCTATCAGCAATAATGGCCTAAAGTATCTAGGTTGATTTCACCAGTATATATATTGGACTATTAGCAAAAAATAAAATACATAACAATATAAAACTTACCATCCATTGCATCCATACCAATGCCACTGTCTGGAGTACCACCTTCAATTTCACTTAAAGAAGGTTCCTTCATACTGATTGATTGTTCATGCTGGAATTAAATAGTTAGTTTAGAAAACTTTTATTTAAACATTCATATATGTTCGCATTTTTAAAACTAGGCTGTCAAACTTGTATACAGCTTACCTGATTACTCATTAAGGAACTATTTGAATCTTCTTCATCAGAGCTTAAAGTCAATATGACAGGTTCTGGATCTGGTTGTTTTCCTTTAGGCTTTCTCACTCTTGGGGTTTTTTTTTCTTGCAGAGGCTGACATAAAACACATTTTGTTAGAAAAGTTACTTCATATTCTGATAATTTATATTCTGGAAATAATATCTAAATAAAAAGAGCACTTACTGTCTTGTTGTTAAGTGTCTTCATTGTAGTCTTTAATAAATTTATTTTGATTCCTTCACCACAAGTACTAGAACAAAAGTAATTTAATGTAAAACTTCAGTCTATTAACAAATTTTTTTTCAATACAATATTAATAATTTATCAGTAAGAAAGAAAAGTAAGAAGTCGTTCAGAATTATATGATAGCAAATATCTACATTTTATGTATATATTTGCTATCATGTATGTATATATTTTATATATAGATATACATTTTATTTACTGGAAATTAATTTAGTTTTAGCGTAAATTTAGTACTGTCAATTTTAAGGAGTTACCTACCAGTTAATATATATTATAAACATACTATCTTCAGTTTACTGTTAAAAATTGTAGTATGGATACAAGGTTACTGGGTTAATCGACCTAAATACTTTAAGGGGTTGTAGTTGCCATCATTTCTGATAGCTGAGAATACGCACATGTTTTCTAAACAATCTGCAGTTTAACTTTCATTGATTTTTTTAATAATATTTGTCAAAGAAAAACATTATTTTTACTTATATATTTATTTTTCCTATTTTTAACCATCTACTTCGGCCAGGTTTGTTAACTACAATTTTAGTAATTGAAATTATAAAAAGTAAAAGATATGTTCTAAAAAAATATTAGGCAAAAATAGACGATTTTTATAAAAAATATTAAGTCCAATATCTTGAAAATGGTTATTTTTGGGATATGGTAATTCATAGTGAAATCTATCAGAAATTATGGCAACTACAACCCCTTAAGGTATTTAGCTCGATTTACCCAGTAATTCTGTATATACTTTATTTTAAAGAATAAATTATGAATTCCTTACTTTTGTTTTTCTAGGTTTGTTTTCTCTGGGTCCTTTTTCTTTTGTTCTACTTTTTTGCTTGGTACACTTTTAGGTTCATCAGTGAATACTCGTTTACACCTTGAAAAAGAAAACAAGATTTATTTTTATGAGTTCAGTTGTTAACTTCCATCGGTTGCAGAAGTACAGTTAAAAATGTAACTAAAATAATATTTAACTAATAAAATAATAACTTTTATTCCAGTAGCTCAATTTATCTCCACTTTGATTTAATCTGCAATAGAAAAATACCTCAAACCGAATCCATTTTAATGAAAACTGTCAAAGCAGTTTAGACAATAGTACCTACTTGAAGACCTACTTTAAAAGAATCCATTAGTTTAGACAAATGAAATTACAACTAACTCAAGTGTTCAATAGCTTATTTGGTTCTTTCAACTGAACTGTTGAAAATAAAATCCAATCTGTCGAAGTGGTGGGCAGTGAGAAATTTAAACAGAAATGAACTTTTTGTGGTATTGGTATTGGTTGTGGGCTTCGGTTTCCGCATTTAGACTGAAGAGTGGTCCTTTATGGGTCGAGGACTGGTTAGCTGGGTGAGCCAACCAAGCTTCTTCCAGAAGCGCAGAAGCCTCCTGGGGCGTTCACAGGCTTCTAGGAGCGATTTTGTATCGGGAATGATACTTGCCCGTTGTGTGGCCACTTCCTCGCATTCCAGGACTATGTGGGCGGCCGTTTCTTCTGCTTTCAGACATCCCCTGCACACAGGGATGTCCGTAGCATTGATGATAAATAGGTGTTGGTTCAGGGCTAGGTGTCCTGTTATAGTTTCGACAACTATTCGGATTTCCAGTCTGCTAAGACTAATCAATCTGCAGGTAAGTCGTGGTGTGACTTGAGCCAGCACCAGTTTGGAATGTCTGCAGCCGGGTGAGTTTTTTCACCTCCGGTTGTGTGCTTCACGAGTCCGTTGCCTGACCCAGAATCGTATTTGATTAAACGGTATTGGCAGTAGTATGGTTGGGCCGGTAGCTGGGGTTGCCGAGCCCCTCCTTGCCAACTCATCTGCGGCATCGTTCCCGTGTGAGTTACTGTGCCCTAAAATCCATTGGAGGAGTACTACATTTAATGTGGCAAGCTGCTCCAATGCTTGATGGCATTCGAAGACAATACCAGAGGTCATTGTGTTGCCCTCTAGTGCCTTTAGGACGGCCATGCTGTCAGATAGTATTCGGATGTTATAGTCCTTGATACCTCTAGACAAAGCCGTTGTGGCGGCGTAAGTTATTGCCACACATTCGCATTTGTGGTATTTTCTAGAAGTATAATGTGCTAAAATTTTATTTGAATTTGATAAATACTTTTCGAGTTATTATTAAAGGGCTCTCTGACCTTCAAGAGCAGGCAGCTAGCGGCATGAATTAGGAAACTATCGATTTCTTGGGTCCTACTAATTATTGTTTTAGATGTTTAATTTCTATGAGTAAACAAACATGCAAACAAACTTTTGGGTTCAAGTGTACTGAAAATTTAATATTTGAGGTTAGAAAGCCTGTGGTAGTTGCACCTAGCAGTCAATAGTTGTCTTGGTAGGTAGTGGTAAAAATAATAGTTTAAAAACATAACAATCACGATTTTGTAACTGAAAAGTAGAAAATAATTTACTATAAGGTAAAAAAATAGAGTGATTGTTATAAAAATATTTAAAGTTAAAAAGCGTAGGTGAGATATGTGTCTTCACACATCTTTAAATACTATTTTGAACAGTTAAAATGTACAATTAAATATACCTTTCACAGCGACTAAAGTCATATCCTGTGTATCCACAGAATTTACATACAGCTAACATGCCATCAACATGTCGGGGAGGGGGAGACCGTGGTCCAGGAGATTCAGGGCTGATGTTTCCTAAAACAATAACTCATAAGTTACCTATGATAATATGTTGTTGGATGTTACCACTATATTCTAAAGATATGTAATTATTTAAATATGGCAAAGTTTTAGTAAATATTTAATTACAAAAGAGGCAAAACTTGGTGACCCTTTGAAAATACCTAAAACGACAATTCATACAAAAAAATACAATTCAAAATCCAGCCTAAATGAAGAAAACATGATTATGAATTTACCTGAAAACAGTCTGTACTGTCGCTTGTAGGTATTTGCCAGTTATTAAAGAACATGAAAGTTACACAAAACTATTGAAAAGTATATATTGAAGTTAGCAAGTTCACAATACATACCATTATCAGGACACTGGGATTTCTCAGGTGTAGACATTTCACTACTCTGAGGTCGGGACATAACAGACGGGGAATTCCTATTACTAATATCACCCACTAGCATCTGAAATTACATAATTCAATATTAGTTTGTTGCAACACATCCAAATTAAATAATAACTGCAAAAGAAGGTGTACTAACCGGGTGATTTTCTAACATCTCCTCAATTCTAGTTGTTGAACCAACAGATACAAAATAGTCTATCTCACTACTAGTATTCTGCATACATTGTATATGAGTATCCTCCGAAAATGGAACGTTGACCTGTTCAAAATATGAAACACATTAGTCAGCTAGTCATTTATATCAAATAAAAAAAAAGGTTTGTTATGAAGTTACCTGTTCAAGAACTTCCTGAAGTGTGCAACTTTCTTTTGGCAATGTAAAAGTAATTAGTCTCTGTTCGCCATTTTGTAGAAATATTAACATTTTAGCAGACTGTGGTTCCGACGCCTGTTCAGAAGGCCCTGACATTTCACTGTTTTCTAAAACAAAACATTCTAAATATAAACTATATCAAAACCAAACCAATATAATTATGAAAGAACAATAAACTGCAAATATTTTCTACCAAATTTAAGGCAATAAAGACCCATATAGCATATAATAAACAGACCAATACAACTATATAAAAACTGCAGAGTTAGCAAAAGCTGTACATCAGTATTTTTACTTTTTAATCTCAAGAAAAATATTCAGTGGCACTCCATAAACAATAATAAAGACTAAAAAAATTAATGTAGTTGTTGCCTTTTGTTAATATATGAAAACTATTTTACACACCAAAGGTGACAATGTAAACAATATGAACCAACCTTGTTGAGGAGTTTGTTGCTGTGCTTGCATCGGTGGTACCCTTTGTACAGGCCTCTGTTGTTCTTTACTTCTTACTAAGGTTTGCCTGCCTGTTTCTCTATAACAAAAATAAATAATGTAAATATGTGTTTAAAAGTGTTTGTTGTAAAGTAGATAGAGTTCCATTTTTAACACATATTTTCTTTGAAGTCTGATTGAATGTATTTAGTACATTATATAAAACATAAATAATTAAAAAATTAGATAATATGTAAGTGTTGTACAGAAGAAACTAATTGCAGGCCATGTTAGATAGTTGTCTCTGAATCAGTATTAAGCACCTTTGTTAAATATTATTTTATGGTTCGATATTTAAGAGTAAGGTAATTCGTAATTTAACAATACATCAATACCTTCCCTGTTGTGGCTGAATGGGTCCTCGCTGAGGCTGTTGCATTGTACGTTTATATTCCCCGAGAGTTATTCTCTGGCCGTTAATTAATGTTAATACTTGTTGGTCTTCCTCCGTAGAATCTCCGTCCATCAATAACTGACTGAGTGTTTGGGGATGTTGCTGAATGTGAGGTTGTTCATAGGTTAACTGTTGCTGTTGATATCCATGCTGTGAGTTAAAACTAATTTGTTGGTGAGACTGGGGTACTGTTTGGTTGGGTCGCATCGCGGGTGAGGGCGTGTGGAACTGCTGCGGCGTAACATTCATATTATCATTTACCGAATGCTTAGTGAGAATGGCAGCTGTAATGCTCTCCTCGAGATCATCCATATCGCTTGCGTTGTTCGGTTGAACTACGACTTTTTTGGATTGTTGTATGTGTTGAGGATGTGGTGAAGATCTTTGCGGAATGGTAGTGAGAGTGTTTTGAGGTAGAGGTCCATTGTTCTGGCTTGCCTGAACTACTGTGTGCTGGGGTAATTGTGACGTTAAGTTTTGCGTTACTATTGTTCCCTGAGGTGTGATGATGCGTGTAGCCTGATTCTGTTGGTTGAGAAGCTGAAATAAAAAAAAATACATTAATCACCGATACCTCACATAGTTTTTGAGGTGTATAGTATCAATAACTAGCTTTTGAATTTAAGATTTATGGGCAAGTTTTACTTAAACTTGGTAGCGACGCTTTGGTATGCAGGCGCTAGGAAGGGCCCAGATGTGTTAATAACAATAACAAGTAGGCTCCGGGTCTCACCTATTTTTAGCTTAGTACCGCACACCCGTGAGGTTTAAGTCGGTTCGATTCCGACATACCGCCCCACCGAAAACTCCGGTGGGGTAACAGCCCCAAAGGCCACACGCTTAAAGAATGTGTAAGTGTTTTGTCGTTGACGATGTTCATCTGCGTAAGATATAAATTAACTTACTGGATGATTGGAGAGCTTGATTTGATTTAGTTGCTGTTGATGAAGTTGTGGACTGATGACATGTTGAGTGAGTTGATGTTGCTGATGTTGTTGTTGCATTTGTTGATGCTGTTGCTGTTGCTGTAAAAATTATTTAAAAGATAATTAAATTTGTGATCAGGGACATTGTACTTCTCAACGATAGTGTTTTATTTCTTTTTAACGTACTGTATTTATTTGTTTGGTCTGGGTGTTTGTTTGTTTGTTATGTAATATATGTCATTTAAAATTTTCAATATATTTTATCTTATATGTTTTTAACCTGGAGCGTGTGGTGCAAGGGTGTGCGCGGTCGCGGCGGGCGGTGTTGAGCGTGCTGCGATTGCGGGTTGAGCACGCGGGGGGAACCCACGCGAGCCGGACCGCCCGGAGCCGGTGATGAGGCCTGACCGTTTAGTAGTATGTTGCAATTAAAATAATGAAGTGAATAAAGTAAAAAAATATAATTATTTTTTTTAACATCGGAATGAATACGTTCGAGTGCCACTAGATTAATATAATGGTATTCCTAAAGTAGAAAGAACGATATAGTCACCGGTTGCATGGCATTGAGCATCCGCGGAGGCGGAGCGGAGGGCGCGGGGGGCTGGTGGTGCGCGCGCGCCGCCGGTCGCCGCGGCCGCACCGTGCGCACGGGCGTCCGCACCAGCGTCACCGGGCTATTGCTCAGCGCCTGGTTCAGGACGCGTGGCGCCGTCGCTCGCGTCGGTGTACCCTAATCAAATGTCATTAAACGTTGAAATTATATTAATCTTGTAAACAAGTCATACTTCGACCATATTTGATTTTGCAGCTCATCATTACACTTTCTCTCTTAGTAACTGGTTACTTGTGATTTAAGGTATTAACTTGACCTTAACGATCTCTAATTTATCATATCTTGTGTCCACTTAATAATAAAAAGAGATTAGACTATTTTATTCATTCGAATTGGACTCACCTGCTGATTTATGTAAGCTGCATGCATAACAACTTGCTGATGCTGTATTTGTTGAGGTTGCATGTGTTGTTGGTGTTGTTGTTGGAGTTGGTGCTGCAGTTGCTGTTGTTGTAGTTGTTGTAAGTGAATTTGTTGCTGTTGCTGAAAGTGCTGGATGATTTGAGGGGACGCACGTGGCAATTGCTGTTGTGGTTGCTGTTGTTGCTGTAATTACAAATTTGAACTACAATAAAAATGTGTCATTAAAGATATGTTGGCTAATTTTGCACATCTTTTAAATAATTTTTTATGTATCTTTAATAAACATGCATGATGGCATGCGCGTGTTTTGACACAAACAGTAGTCTAATTATTTATATAGTGTATCACTGACACACTAATTGATTTTGATCTAGGCGCCTCCTGCAGCATGTGTATTTAGTTACAAGTAATGGTGGCTAGTGTGAAATAATGATGTCGATCCCAGATGATCAAATTAAACGATTGTCTTGTAACGTGATAGCACAGTCGGTCTGAGTAGTAAATCAGAAGATTCTGAGGATCTTGAGGTGCGGATGCGAAAGCTTGAGCGGAGTTTTTTGTATATATGTTGCTCGTCACCACCAGGGTAATTTTTAAAATAATTTTCGTACTCACAATCGGGACTACTAGTTTTGTTAGTCTACCATCTACCGCAATGATAGTTGAGACTGGCTTCTGCTCTATTCGCTTTTCATGTTTTGCTAGAAAAGCTTTTTTAGGTACAGGCCGTAAGCTTTGTACTGTAAATTTAATATTTTTCTTAATTTTTTTCTTTTACTAATTAGATAAAAAAGGCGTACCCCAACGTATTGTTTTCTAGAATCCATTTTTTTAAGGTTTTAATGTTTTTGGACTATACCCACTAAAAACATACTTTTATAAAGTGTGTTGTATAAAGTTGTTACAGTATTCATCTTATTTTTAGTATCATAACTGACTAACCGTTTGCTGCGGGGCATGCTGCGGCTGTGGTTGCTGAGGTGGGGGTTGCGGTGGTGGCTGTTGAGCGGGATGTATCACAGTTGGTTGTGTTAGCACGTGTGCGGGATTCACTAGCTACATGTGTCATGAAAGAAAACACACGGATAAACAAAATATTACTATGACAACAAAAGTTTTTTTTAATAATTTTGACTTGCCAAGTATTGATCTATTATGATTTAGTATCATAGAGCATTCATTAGCTTTAAATTTTATATACATAGGTTACCTACATCCGAATTCATGTTATACAAAAAGCGCAATTAATTATGAAGCTAAATTACTATTCGTGTGTGTCACCTAACGCGAATCTATAGCTTTACATCAATTGAGTGTAAGGCGCGTAATACTTTTAAAGAGCATTACCAAAATACCGTGCACTTCTTTTTTATGATATAGGGCGAATCCGAGCACTTAATAGAAACTGACCACCATCGCACATGGTCACCTGTATCTAAAGACTCAAAAGTGAGCCGGTTCTTGAGGTGGGTGTTGTTAATTTTCATCATGTTTGAAAGTCGTATCAATCCGGCAATACCGCAGACAATAATTTGTTCTGCAAATTAGTTGTACGTGCAAAATTTTTTTCGACATTTGTATATATAAATTATTCCATCCCCATCACTTCTATCTGTGCGTGTCAATGATAGAAGTGATGGGGATGAGAGCATGCCTCGTTGAAAGTTATTTTTACAAACATAGACGTATAAAGAAGTCGGTCGGAACTCCCGCTAAGGCAAAACTGAGGCACCGTAATAGTGGCATCTCTGTACGTGAGAATGAACTTAGGGTTGCCAAGTTTCCCAAATTTATGCGATAAAAACGGCGTGAGGGGTCTATGGACCCCCAGACGGAACGAAGTTCCAGAAGAAGTGTCGGCAAAAAAGTCTTGTTACACATTTTTTGGTCTCGCTCCCATCCGCTCATAACCATTTCGCAGATGCAACAACTAAAAAAGTATAAATGCCATGTCAGGTTAGATAGTTAATTAACCTTTTGAGGTACTGCATAAGTAACAAAACGTCGGTGTCCTCCTTTAATTGTACATAAGCCAATAGTTTCAAAATGTATACTGCAAATGTTACTGTATTTGATTGGAATGCAATCGTTTTCACTATTACAATTTCTAATAACTTTAATGAAATAATTTCTTCATATTTCATAATCGTTAGAAAATCTAGTAAAAAGAATATGAAATAAAATACCTAGTAGTCACTATTAAATGGATAACCTTAATAAATTGATTTTAGTTATAAACTAAGAATTGCCTAAATTTCGGGTAATTTGCACAAGTGAATATTGGCAACACTTTGCTAATAATGAATGCGTTTGTAGATTGCTTTTAATGTGTAAAATCTGGAAAAAGAAATTGAATTATTAATTTACCTATGAAACGTGATTTCTGGATTATTTTTCTTTCGGACACTACGGTTTTTACACTATTTTACCAAGCAAAACATGTTGTATATTTATATTTTTTCGCTGCATAACGCGTCTCGCTGACTATGTTTGCCATTACGCCAATGGCCGACTAATGTGTGTAATGTGTGTGCCGGCCTATACGTACAGCTAGCTGGCCGACTCTGAGTGACACAGTATTTTGCTAGCGAGATTATGTCCGATTTTTTTTATACGGCCATGTTTATAAATGTTTACGACACAGCCTTCCATATTGCAAATCAAATTTATGGAGTGCAATTTTGCGTCATTGAATTCCCATCGACGTTTTAAGTTGCATAATTTATAAAATACCCAATGTTAGTTATTAATATTAATTTCAACATATACACTAAACGATTTTATTTAATATAATAGTATTTTATGCACCATTAGAAAACAAGCAAAGCATTGCACGATGAGGAAAGTAATATTTATTATATCTATCATTATTTTGATCACATCCACCAGTCTTAAATTAAAAAAAAACATTATAAAAACATTGAATGAAATTCCTAGATTTGAAGAAAATTTAAGATAACCCCCCACATGCGAAAGAAACTAATGGTTGCCTTTCAAGCATATTTGAGCGCCCAACGTGGGGCATTGGGGTACATTAGGAGCGTAAAGACAGAAAAAAGGTTGTGTTGATAATATAATTAGATTAAACAAGGTTGTGTTTAGTAAATACATGGCATGACTCTCTAGAATCCATAAATTGGCAATAAAGTGTGACCCATAATGTTAGTTTTACGGAGATTTGATTAAAGCTCAAAAGTATTGACAACACCCTTGAAACAAACTTTTCCTATTGAGTCCCGAATAAATGATGATTTGAAAATATGTACAAAACCACACAGAACAGTACCTAATTACCAGGAACTAATTGAAAGACTGCGTAATTACGTTACACTGAGAGGAGTGGAAAGCAAATCTCTGGTCTCAAGTTTATTACTATGAAACCGACTGTGAATGCTTACCCCCAGTTACTTAAATATATATTTTTAATAACCGGCTTTAAGTCTCAAAAGGACGAGGTTCTCATTTCGGTTGAATTTTAAATATTAAGGACTAGGTTTAAAGTATAGGCCGAAGGATACGATTTATAGATAAATAGGTTTTGCATGTCTTATCACTCATTATCACAGCAACGTATAATATAAGAAAAAAATACAATTATTTTATACACACGTCAGGAGAACTCTAGCTGTTGCCATATATTATGTGGCATGGTTGGTAGTTTAAAAGATATAAATTGTATACTGTTAAGTTTTTGCTAATGCTAAGATTTAGCACAGCGCAAGTGACACCGCTGGTATTCTCAGTATATGCAGGCATCGGTAACCACTTACTGTCCAGCGGGTCGTGTGCTTATTTGCCTTTGAAGTTGTATAAAACTTAAATGTGGATTCTCAATTTCATTATCTATTGAACATTTAAGCTATTTTAGTTTAATTAAAATAAAGATTTTTATTTGAAAATGATTAAAAGTAATTTATTTGGTTAATTTGAATAGGCAGTGTTAATTTTACAATGTGTTGCACTTTGTAGATGATGAATGATGTGTGGCTAAATGGTCGTAAGCCATTTATATAATGGACTTACAAATTTAATGAAACATTTAAAGAGCATAGCAGGTAACATGAGATTAATTCAAAACTTATTTGAATGATTCCATGTACTAATGAACTGCACCAAATAATGGTAAGAAAATAGTATGCAAAAAATAGACCAGTTTCCTGTTGGGTTCAAACATAGGGGACCGTTGATACCACTTGATTAGTTATAAAGATCATGATAAGTAAGCTAAGTATATCTGTAATAAAAATATATCTCTTGGTAAACTAAAGTTATTACAATGAGACCAGAATCATTTATTGAATTGAGCACCAACTAATAAGGCCAGAAGTTTTATGTCTTTATTCAGTAGTCCATCCTTATCTAGCAGTTTGAGTGGCGTTACTAGTAGTCTCATATGTATATAAGAAAATATCACATTTTTACCCGACTGCACCAGAAGGTGGGTGATTTTTTTGAGACTATGTATGTATAATTGTTTGGCACACTCTGCAGCCTGAACGGCTTGATGGATTTTTTCACACAGTCGGGTATTTTGTTTTTCAATAATTAGCTTGTTACAAACGGAGTTGAGTAATACTTTTGAGCTAAGGTTAATATTATACTTTTTTGTTAAATATTTTATTAAGAGCTAAAATAATTCCAAAAGTTGTCAATTTTATTGAATTTTTTTAACCAAATGAAAAGTGATAACTGCCAAGCATATTATAAGAACTTCTACAACCGTAATGCATACTTCCTAAAGTGAATTAATGTTAGACAAGGATTTAGACAGGAGACATACATGTTGTGGGCGTTGTGTAGATGACTGTTGCATCAAAGATGCATCAATTATCTGTTGGGCCTGTTGTAACACAACCTGAGCATCCACAGGCAAATCAGATGTGTAGTAAACCTACAAAAAATTATATTTCATAGCTTATATAACATTTGCTCAAATATTTTGTTATACACTATATTAACAATCACTAATATTGTGATTACAGTTTATAGCTTTGTTTATAGCTGTGTAATTGGGCTAAGGGTGTAGACATTGGTTTTAAGACAATAGTTTGGAATTTCAGGAATTATATTTGCCTTTTCATAACACAACTGAAGGGTGTATAATATTTAAGTATTCACTTATGTGAGAAATTTTATTAATTAGTTTTGTATTTCAAAACTTGATTGTTAACGGTCTACATTACTCGCTCTTCAATTTACCAAAAAGGTGGCAAATAAGCATTCAGCCCACCAGTGCCCTTATATATAGATATTTGCAACACCTGGGGTGTCACATGCGCATATATAAATTGAAATCTAAAAAAAATAACTAATATTTTAGCAGATTATCCTATTATAAAATCTTATTAAGATTATCTTATTAAAATTTGCATTTGGCTTCAATACCCACTTGATGTCTATGTAATGCTTGCTGCTGCTGTTGTTGCTGCTGCTGCTGCTGTTGTTGTTGCTGCTGAAAGTCACGTTGTGGTTGAGAGGGGTCATGTCGAATGATATACTGTTGCTGGTATTGTAATCCATCACTGACAACCAGCTGGGGCTGCACACCTTCACTAACTATAATATCACTTGGTGTTGAATCTGCTTGCTGCACAACCACCTTTAAAATACAATTGTTTGAAGGCCATTAACGATTGTGGTTTCAATGCATCCTACAAATGTATTAAAGAACTTATAAGTCACCTGCTGTTGAGCATATTGCTGTTGGTCATCTTGGTTTACTATAATACCATCCAAGCATATGTTTGGACAAAATCTTTGTATGTCTTCAAGAGTTAGTTGATGACCTTGCCCAACTATCTGGTAATATTGAGCCATAGCTAATGCTTACCCTAAAAACAGATATATAATTTATTACATATAATACTATAACATGTAAATCAATCAAATGTCTTTAATTTTTAAGTTAAATTATTCATCTGGAATGAAATCTATACTCATTTCACATCACATCATCACATCAACAGCCTATAAACAGTCCACTGCTAGACATAGGCCTCTCCTTAGAAAGGAGGTTTTGGCCTACTTTATCATGCTGGCCAGACGGATTGGTACATATATATATTTATACTCATTTAATAAACTTTAAGAGTTGTTTTATTGGATTGTTTTTTTAATTGTGCTTATCTCTGGAATTATCTTAGATTTAAATAATTCTTTTTGTGTTGGGTAAAGTTACGATTAAAGAAGGTTATAGACAATAAAATATCACACTACATATCATACTATATTAGAGTTGAACAGTGACTATAAAGACAAAAGAAACTGAAGGGAATCAGAAATGATAACTATAAAATTATAATGAGTGTTAAGTTTAAATAAATGCCATTGTTAGTCAAATACTATGATTTCAGAATAGGAAACATTGTTTGACAGGACTAAACTAACTTTTAATGATTTTTAGTTTAGAGAGTTTTCAAACAACAGAATTAAACCATGGTCGTAATTTATTTCTTGTAGTTGCAACTAATTCATATTTAAAGGTCAGTAGCAGTAGGAGTAGGGCACTAGCTCTAACTTCTCTTGTATATTGAAACTTATCCAGTTCATGACTTCTATACACCATGATTAGTGGGAGTAGACCAAAATGCTGCAACTGACAGCTTTTAAGATTAATAATAAACATAATTTTATCTTAAAAAATTGCACTGATTGCCAAAAATATAATTCTACAGTGATATGTTGTTGCTTATTTATTTAATATTTCCACACAAAGAAAATAGTTTTATATAATTTATCAACATTATTTTATATTCTTCTCAAAATTAATGAAATCGAATAATCAAAAATAATAATTTTATACATTTATTTTTATGTGATATGTATGTTTGTAGTGGATGGTGATAGACTGATGACTATGTATGTATATATTTAGAAATAAAGAAGTATGTTTATCAGCAGTATGATTACCAAAGTACAGGCTCTGCCTATTTTAGAATCAGACAGCCATATGTGAGATGTCAAGTTATTATTATTTTATATATTTTTTTTGTGAGAGACAAGGCCTAACTTTGAATTTTAAGTGTAAGAATGTATCAAGTAATAATATAATAAGAAAGAAAAACCATACAAAATATGTGGTCTTACTTACAGCACTGAATATTATGTGGCCACATATTAACTATTTTGTCTAACATATCTGTCTAAAATGGACTAACTAGTCCATTTCTCATTGCAATGATTAAAGGACTTCTCTGAACCACTGACTGATTGTAATATTATGAAGAAAAGTCCATAGCTAACCAATAGCTTCAGACAATTATTAATAAAAATATTGTAATAATTTATTGTGTGAGTTTAATATAATGTATTAAAACACAGCAGGTCATTCATAAATTAGTATTGTTAAAGCTTAAGAAAACACTTCAATGTATTTCCCACTGTCTTCTAGTAATTTTACAAGAGTTTTCAAGAGTTAGAAAGTAATAGTTCATTTGATCATGTCAAGTCAGTACTGCTTCAATTATTATAGATCCCCAAAACAAATAATCTAAACCAAAAAATAAAATAGTGCACAGATTTGGTTACTTACAAATAGTTTATAATTACCAGTTAAATTCAAATTTACCAGTTTCTCAAATCCTTACAACACATTTGGGGATTTGTTTACAACTAGTAACAAGCAATAAAGTAACTTGTGCACTTTTATTTAGCAGTTAATCACTGTAATTCACATTTATTTTCGTATCCTTTATTACTATTGGTATAATTACGGCAATATAACAGCAAGAGACACTTCGTTGACAGATATTATGCCATCCACCCCGATCACTACATACGGAGCAATAACAGCAGCAATGACTGCTGAAATCGTACATTCGTACCAACACTACAACTATGGCGACGACACTGCCTTCACATTTAAGTAGAACTTTCAGTCTATTCCGTAAACATCACTACGAGTGATTAAAACGTTAGGAATAATATGAAAAATATCTTCAATACCGTTTACACGAACAGAACGAAATGGCTTCGATTCCTTTGATCCAACCTAAATACTTTGAATGGAGAGTGTTACACATAGATAATAGAGAAGTCACTGATTTTCATCTTACCAATATTTACAAAGGACATTTTAAATGTCTTATTTATACATTACAAACGAATTTATAACATCAAAATGTTAATTTTTTTAACTCAAACGCCAAATCGAGAAGCAATTTACATTATGGCGTGTGTGTCACTTTTTTAATAATGTTTTTTTTTTCGGCTAGTGTTACTATAATCGAAAAACAAAAAAGTTTTATCCATCTTTGCTGGCATTCTCACTACGTTCTATAATTTAAAAATGTGCACAGTAAACGTGCTGAGATAATGTAGGAATGTAATAATAGATAATAACAAAACAAAAAACTACAAGAAATCACGACATTTGGTGGATAATTAATATTACATAACAAAAACGATTTTCTAAAGTGAGATTTAAACCTCAAACTTTTTAGTAAGAAGATTGAATAGCGACCAAAGAGTATACAAATATTCGACGTTGGATGTGTTGAAAACTTTATAATCTGTGTTGTACACATCTATAATTGAGACTGCAATAACGAGACGTTTTTACGTGTTTTAATTTATTATATTTCACTTTGATTCCATTCCATTTGGATCATATTTTATTCATTTGATAGGGAAAAATTAAACCGACTAACTTGAGATACAAATTGAAAAAGACGGGAGTGAATTCCAACTTATATGACATTTTGTTGCTGTCCTCATCACTCGTGCAAATGGATGATACAGTGATTTCGCCAGGTATACTGCAGATAAATTATTGTTTATTGTTTCCTTTTTGTAGAATAAAATAATTAGCTTTATCGATTACAGGAAATAAAATGGGGGATTCGGCATCTGAGAGTGACTCCAGCTCACTTGATGGCGGAGCTATGTTGCCCCCCAGTACAGTTTCTCGTGATCAGCTTCAGAAAAGAATTGAATCTCTACAGCAACAAAATAGGTAAGTTTTAATCAGAGGCATAATTGAGTAACTACTAATACAATTATTTTTTCAATAAAAAAAAATCTCGAGTTACTGTGTTTATATGAATTGTGTTCACGAAATATATCTACTCGTACCACGATATATATAATCGTTAAGAAGGTACTTGTACTTTATTTGGATGTACTATATAGTTATCGCTCATTAAATAGATTGAACTGGCAGTAGTAGTGGTGTAATGTAATAAAATTAAGTTAACTGTATTACTATAAATCAGCTGTCAACTTCATTTACAAAATATTTCAGAGTCCTTAAGGTGGAGTTAGATACTTATAAGCTCCGTGTAAAGGCTTTGCAAGAAGAGAATCGTGCCTTGAGACAAGCATCCGTTTCAATTGTAAGTTCTTTACTTTTATTAAAAAATATTTATAGTAAAGCTTTACTAAGTTTTACTACATTAATTAATTTGTGTCTCTAAGCGCTCTTAGTTGAATTTAATAGTACTATACTGTTGGCAAAGGCTAAAAAACACTATAGACCTAGTATTATGTTTCAACAGTTTAGTAGGGTTGTCAGGGCTTTATGGGTGGACAGTGTTGGTTAGAAATGAGTGACCTCTCTTCTATCTTGAATGATAGTATTTCTCACTAAGTTAGTATTACTGATGAATACTATCACTCATCTCATAATGTTACATAGTAACTATGCCAGAATAGTGATGTGATTTTTTTACTCCTTTATCATTAATATTTTAACTGACTGACTAATATTTTTGCATATTAGTTTGTACTAAAGTATTTTAATGTAATTGTTAAATTATATTTTGATTTTACTTTCCAGCAAGCAAAGGCCGAGCAGGAGGAAGAATATATTTCTAACACATTATTAAAAAAAATTCAAGCCCTAAAGAAAGAAAAAGAAACTTTGGCTCACCATTATGAACGGGAAGAGGAATGCCTAACAAATGACCTTTCCAGAAAATTAAATCAGGTATTTACTATTTCCTCATCTTTGTCACTGCAGAGAAGCTGTCGACAATCTTGGACATCATGACCTTTCTTGTAGCAGCACTTTCTGTATATCTCGACATGCCAATATTAACAACATTATCCATTGTGCTCTTGTTACTGCTGGCGTACCAGCTGAACGTGAATCCAATGGTCTGGCATGAGACAGTCTGGAAAGACTGGATGGTATGTTGTTCCTGCCATGGAAGATGGGTAAGCCCTTGGTGTGGGATGCGGGTAACTTGCTTCTACACCCCATCACATCTTCCAAGCACAGCTGGTTTTGCCGGCACTACTGCTGCATCTGTCTTCAACTGCAACTGTCTTTGTTCAGGAATTCTTTTCCATGACAGTTAAACAGTTAGTTGAGGTCTATAAGAGTGGTCTGGTGCATAATTTTTAAACTTATACTACATATTACTTTGAAACTATTGTTTGTGGACTTCTGCTTGGTATACAAAATTTTAGGTTCTCAAGTGTTACTAGAAATTAACAGGATTAATGTATTGCAGTTACGTCAGGAGAAATGTCGTTTGGAGCAAACCTTAGAACAGGAACAAGAGTGTCTGGTTAATAAATTGATGAGGAAAATAGAAAAGCTGGAAGCTGAGACACTTGCAAAGCAAATGAATTTGGAGAGACTTCGTAGGGAAAAGGTACACATTTTAAGCACTTTGATTATAACATTTGTAGTAAAGTATTACATTTACTTAAAAAAAATCCTTATGCCGCCTACAAAACCAAGTTTCTAAAGCTGTTTCAAAACAAGAAAAATATTTTTCTATCGAAATTTGTATTGATAAAAAAATAGTGTTTCTTCTTTCGAAACTGGTAAATAAAATCTCTTTTGATGGATAAGAAACAATTTACTATCCACTTCCACACAATGAAAACGATATTAAATGAATGGCATGTGTATGTTAGTGTTATTCTTGTCTGATCGCTAGTCTAAATTGTCGTTTCGATTTTATTTACAAATTTCTAAAGAAGAAACGTTATTCTTTTATTGAAACGAAACTGGTTTCGTAACTTGATTTTGTAGGCGTTTGAATCGAAAATGTTCGTGTTCTTAAAATAATTTTCTTTTTCTTCTGTATAGACTGAATACAATTTAAAAACTTACAGGTGGAACTGGAAAATACGTTGGAACAAGAGCAAGAAGCATTAGTGAACAGACTTTGGAAACGAATGGACAAGCTAGAAGCAGAAAAACGTTCTCTGCAAATAAGACTCGACCAACCAGTTTCTGATCCAGCTAGTCCTAGGTGAAAATCTAATACTTATCATAGAAATATATTCTTGTTTATTCAAATTTGTTTATTTTTTGTTCTTTGTTGTTCTTTGTTATTTAATTTTTTCCTCTGTTAAAGTCTGATTTGCAGAGGTAATAAGAAATGATTTTTAACCTAAATATAAAATGAAGCTTTTTACATATTCTTCTGCATGAATTTCAAAGTCTAATGGCATGTTACACTTAGAACACATTATTATATATTATAGACATTGTTTTATTATTAATGGAGATTTTTCTTGCTAGGGACATTAGTAATGGTGATACAGCATCCAATTTAAGCAATCATATTCAGACCCTACGTTCTGAGGTCGTAAAATTAAGGTGAGTAATTTATTACTTTAATGTGTAGCATTATCTATTTTGTTTTTAACAAAAATGAATTATGGGTTGTCCTGCAGCATAATGAGAAATGCTACCAAAGCTGCATAATAAATGTAAGTAGTGCTTTAATTCCTCGCTAAATCTCACGAAGGTAAATTTACCATACAATGTGACTGTTTTTCCTTTGTATGAACTGTGTTTGTGGTAATCTGAAAGTACAATCGTCAGTTTTTTTTTATCAAGTTGTTTAGTACTAGGTTTGTAGGTACTAGAAAAATATCACCTTTATGTCGAAATCGCTACATATAATATTTCAATTAACTATTAGCATGTTTTCCCCGAAAACATACATGTTATAATTCCTATTTATATATAACTTTGCTCTGTATGGCCAGAGCGACACAAATACGCATCGTATGTGGCCATACCTTTATGATATGTAATTGTGTAATATAGAAACGAACAATAACGTATGAAAAGAAAACTAAAACAGGTAAATATCTTACATCACACCCACAAATTACAATTCAATTTTATTTTCTCTTAGCAAGGGTTTCCTGTAAATTTATATTTATTTTTCTTGTCAAAGTTGCTATTTCCATCTACATTTCTATTTATTTTTCTTGTCAAAGTTGCTATTTCCATCTACATTTCTATTGTTTAGTAAATTTACGTAGGACCGACTACTAATAAGCTAAACTTTTAACTAAACCCAAACAGTGAACAATTGTATTTGTAGTATGCACCATTTATACTTATCAAGTTAGTGAAGAAAACACGATGTAAGACTTATTTATTCCCCACTCGGAAACTGAGGATATGGGACGGACTGCACATGGAACAGCGAAACAATTGTGTCGTGCTCGATCAGACAAAAAATACACGTCACATAAATATATTATTAAATAATATAAATATAAAACATCCTACATATTGTGAGGACTAGCGATGTATAGTCGTCGAATTCGTATTCTTGAGAGTACACGGTGAGGAATGCATATGTGCATTATCTCCTCACCACTCCTCAGTGTCTCCTCGATCACTGGGACCTGCAGTGCTATTCTCTAAGGAAACAGCCTTGCGTACAGCGCTGCCACAGCGTCGAACTTCAAACTAAGTTCGTTTGAAGTTGGATGCTACACCGCTGTCACAGTTTTTTAACAATTTCATTGTACTTTGGTAAAAGGTCAAGGTATTATCCATTTAACTAGATTGATTTAAAACTATTATTATTTGAATAGAAACCAACTGGCCGTATCTCAAAACGAAAATAAGGAGAAGATGCATCGTTTTGCTTTAGAGGAGAAACACATTAGGGAAGAAAACATACGTTTGCAAAGGAAGTTGCAACAAGAAGTCGAACGACGTGAAGCGCTTTGTCGACATCTGTCCGAGAGTGAATCCTCGCTCGAAATGGAGGAAGAGAGGCAGTTTAATGAAGCTTTGAGTGTAAGTTCACTTTATAAAAGATATTAGTACAGAAAACAATCTCAAAATTGCGTGCGTGATTATTAATGTTACATGTTAAGAATTGCGTGAACTTGTTTGGGTTTTTCTTTTATGTTCGAAATGCTTTATGACACAGAAGGTCGTAATAAATACATGTCCTAGGTGCTTATTGCAAAAAAAGTCTTTTATGGAATTAATTAAAATCACTTAAATATCAATTTCCTAGCTAACGCAACCCACTTTGATTAAGTTAACAATTTATCATATATATGGAACATTCTATGTAGTTTGGTTAACATTTCATATCAATTAACAAAAATTTCATCTTACATTTACAGAATAAGTTTTCTAATAAATAACTTACTTATTTGTTTCTTCCAACACAGATTGCATTATTAGATTATTTTTTAAAAAATAGCGTTCTTTTTAGGCACGATCACGAAGCGTATCGTCACCGGGCGGGTCACGGCCACTCTCACCCTACGCCTCGCCGCTGTTACACAACGCGGCCGGAATGCCATCGTCTCGACCTTCGCTGCATCTCAATTCTCAGGTTAGGAACGTCATTCAGTTCGAGTAATTATAGGACTTTACTGAAGAGATGTAATAAAACCGTATAATCGATAGATATATAAGAAAGCGTGTGTGTGTGTGTACGGCAGACGCGGCGCACGAGCGACAGGTTCGTGAAGCCGGCGCTGCCGGGCGGCGCGATGGCGGCGCGCGTGGCGCCGCTGGAGCCGCCCGCGCCACCGCTGGCGCCGCCCGCCGCTGTCCCCACGCCTCTACCGCAGCCGCACGCCACCATCCTGCAGCCCGCCAGTCCTATGGACACCTCCTCCAAGGACTAGGCCGAGCGCCCCGCCTGCCCCATCGCCCTATGTCATCCCGCTGCTGATTCGATCGCCCGCACCGACGACTCACTTTTGCTTTAGACGTTTCGCGAGCGACGACTTCGACGGTGGCCTGCGGTCACTCGTTTTTACTGTGTTTACAGAAAATCGAAGTCCGATCGACAGGTATTATGACCTAGCAGACCGCCAGGCCTCAGTACCGAGTTTTCCACGAAATCGTGTACCCAGGTACGTCGACGCGGTTTAAGAGAACTATAACCGGACTGTAGTGGTTTGCCCGGGTGTGACGTGTATTGCTCGTTCGGCTCGCCGGCGGTCCACCATCCTGCGCACTCTGCTCACCGCCCTCTCGACTCGGCACGCTCTTAGACATTACATGTATATTCGCTAGGTCGCGGCTCGTTAACCGATAAAATTGGTGATGAACCGGAACATGGAGTGTGATTGTATTAAAAATATTTATATAGGATCCTGGAGAAAAAAGCGAGCGACGTTGTACGATCGATTAGGATAGTTATAGCTAGTTCTGATTATAAATCATTTCCGATATATATATCCGTGCTTCAAATTTTGCGGCAGTGGGTTTTATTTTATCGTAAGGCTGTGTATAAAATTCACTTGTGAGTAAAGTTAGTGAAAAGAGGTAAAGATTGTAAGCTATTTGATATATTTCACGGGGTCTAGCAATACTACTCCTATGCATGTTTTTCTGAAGGAATGTATAATATGTTACGAATGATGTGTTGTGCCCGCAGGGCGATTTGTTGTGTTCGGTATCCGCTAGTAGGAGTAGTGAGTGACCGTCCTCGGACTCAATTCAATTATGCAAGTTGTCACTTTTTTTTCATGTTATCATAAAACGAAATATACGCATTACTATTACTAAGACTTTTATTTACTTGGTTGCAAATTGTTCACAGTAGTGAACTTCAGTCATAAAGTAGTCAACACAGGATAATCATGAAAACTGCCTTTGTTCGCAGCTTTTTAATAAACATTGTGTTCGCACCAAATCTTGATGGCGTCTAGATATGTTATATGTTACCCTCACATTTTCCTATATATGTGGTTTTTGTCAATTCTCTGTTTAGGTTTTACCATTCTTCAAAATAGTCCATTCAAGAAGTTGAAAACGGATTAATTCTTCTTAGTGGTTCTAAAAATAGGTGCGATTCAAATCGGAATTTGTGAGCACATAAAAAAAATTGTAACTAACAAAATAAGATGAAAAAAAAAGAAATTCAGTTTCTCGTTAATCACTCAAACACTATTAAAATTTAATAATTTTCAATAAAAGTTAAGGAGGAAATTTTTTAAGAAATATTAAGGGCCAAAATTGCTTCCAACTGTTTTATATTTCTGTATGTGTTGACTACCATAAAATTAGAAATAAAATTAAAAATGAAATACATCAGAATCCTGAACATTATTTAATCCGGAAGCTCAGCCCAGGTAAATCTCGAAACAACAGGAGAACCGTTCCCAGTCCAAAAAGAAGTTCGTCAAGGAGATCCGCTTTCACCAAAATTGTTAACAGCAGTTCTAGAGATTATTTTCATAAATCCTGAATGGGAAGATATGTCTTAACATCAATGGCCAAAAATTAAAACATTTGCGCTTTGCTGATGAATTGATATTATTTCCCGAAGATTCACAACAACAGTTGGCTGATGAAAGTGCTACAGCGGGGCAATTTGAAACTGCCTTTATACCCCTATGTTCTATGTTTCGGTATGATAAGTTTTAAAATTGCCTGAGACCTAGTATTTAAATTGTGCGCGTCCGCAAACCGAGATAACTTATCGTATAGATATAGTGGACATTTGCTTGTGTTTATCTTATGAGTGGAACATATCAGATGTTGGTGTCGTCGCGATTGCATATTAAGTTGTCTCTTTTCGTTTATAATTGGGGAGATGTGTGACCATTTATTGACTTTATAACAAAAGCGTATACAGCCGTTTTGGACACGTTGAATGCTTTTTTGACGAAGCCGGGGTCCATATACGACATCGCAATAGTGAAAAGACGAGAGAACCAACAGATCTGACAGTAACTTCCTTACGTGCTCGGAGAAAAATTCTCGAATACGATTATTAATATGTTCTGAAAACTAGCTCTTCGTCCAATAAGAGCCCCAAATTCCTTGCAACAGAAACTCTTTCAAGTACTTACCCATTAAGTCTTATTGGTATACCGTCTGCACTCTTTATTTGGTGCTTGGTATCCATCAACATCCATTTTGTTTTTAAAGCGTTAAGCACTAAAGTGTTTTTCTTAGACCAATCAAGGATTCGCTCCAATCGAAATCGAATATCGGAGGGTCTAAATTACATATAAATTTGCGTATCGTCCGCATATAGGTGAACTTCACAGTATTGTAAAATGTTTGGTAAATCAGCTGTACTGCTACAAAGAGCAAAGGACTTACAAGTCTTAAAAGACGAGTCTTGCGGGACTCCTCTTACCGCCGAAAACGGGAATGCTGCCAAGCATGGGCAAATGCAGCGACGGCAGGCGATGTAAATACCAGCACGCTAAAAAAACAGTATAACTTTGCCTCCAGGTCCCTTAAAAGAGCCATTACTGGGGCGAAATCGGAGCACATCAGCCGGATCGGTGAGAGACTAGTGAGACTTTCTTCTGGAACTCGTGCATTCTGGTCTCTTGCCAAGGCTGTCCAGGGGAATTTCTGTAGCCAATCCTTTCCACCCCTGCAGATATAGGAGATAATTCGTTGGCCTATGATGCCAAGGCGAAAGCTGATCTCCTAGGCAAATTCTTTGCATCTAACTCGACTTTGGATGACGGGGGATACGTACCGCCGACCATACAGCGGTGCCAGAGCTATATGCCGGATATCCGGTTCACGCCAAAATCAGTGCGTAAAGCACTCTTTTCGCTCGTCATTCATAAGTCGTGTGGGCCCGATGGAATTTCTTCTATCGTGTTGAAGACGTGTGCTCCGGAGTTGGCACCGATTTTAACGCGCCTTTTTCGTCTCCTACTCACAAGGCGTCGTCCTGAACTCCTGGAAGGTAGCATTTGTGCACCCGATCCCTAAAAAAGGTGACCGCTCTGACCCGTCCAACTACAGGCCTATAGCCATAACTGATTTGTTCTCTAAGATTATGGAATCCATAATCAACAGCCAGCTCCTCCGGTACTTGGATGATCACCAGCTACTCAATGACCGACAATATGGTTTTCGCCGGGGTCGCTCAGCTGGTGATCTTCTCGTCTTTCTAGCACACCGGTGGGCACAGGCGATCGAGACCAAAGGAGAGGCTTGTGCGGTTGCTTTGGACATAGCGAAGGCCTTTGATCGGGTCTGGCATAAGGCGCTTCTCTCGAAGCTCCCTTCCTTTGGGCTTCCCGAGAAATTGTGTAATTGGGTCCCCAGCTTCCTTGCGGACAGAAGCATTAAGGTCGTTGTCGACGGTGCATGCTCCGACTTGAAATTCGTAAATGCTGGTATCCCACAAGGCTGTGTGCTATCACCCACACTGTTTCTTCTGCATATCAATGACATGTTGCAAACTAGTGGCATCCATTGCTATGCAGATGATAGCACAGGAGATGCCCTTTATACCGGCCGCCCCAACATTTCTCGGGAAAACGTCATCGAGAGTCGAAACAAACTTGTGTCTGAAATTGAAAATTCCTTAGCTTGGGTTTCAGATTGGGGCCGACGAAATCTAGTCCAGTTTAACCCAAAAAAGACAGGTATGTGCGTTCACCGCAAAAAAGATACCATTTGTCGTATCACCTCAGTTTGAGAGCACCTCCCAACTGCCTCAGCCAGCATCGGAATCCTAGGCATCGACATATCGAGCGAACTCCAGTTTCGGGGTCAAATTGGCCTCGAAGAAGCTCGGTGTATTGAACAGAGCGAGGCAGTATTTCACTCCGGCCCACCGCCTTCAGCTCTATAAGGCGCAAGCCCGGCCGCATATGGAATACTGTTCTCATCTCTATGCAGGGGCACCTCAGGTCCAGCTTCTCCCTCTGGACCGCATCCAACGAAGAGCGACTCGAATCGTCGATAGCCCAAACATCTCCGATCGGCTCGATCCCTTGGCGTTACGTAGAGATGTGACTTCACTCTGCATTCTCTATCGCATATATCATGGAGAGTGCTCCGAAGAATTGTTTGGACTAATACCAGCCGCAAATTTCCGCCATCGTTCCACACGGCATAATTTTCATCCTCATTACCTGGATAGTTGGCGCTCCACTACTGTGCGCTTTTCGAGACACTTTTTTCCCCGCACAACCAATCTGTGGAACGGGTTATCGTCTGCGGTATTACCGGACCGATACGACTTTCAAACCTTCAAGAAAAGAGCGTACTCCTTCCTAAAAGGCTGGCATCGCGTTTGTGACTCCTGTGTTGCAGACGTTCACGGGCGGCGATAGTCACTTTCCATCAGGTGACCCGTCTGCTCGTCTGCCCCCTCTAACATAAAAAAAACCTGTTTGTGAGGTATGATCTGAACCAGCAGGCACTTTCTGTAGAAATCCCATTGTGGATTAACTTGGCAAGTAAGAGTTCTCTATTTAAGCAATTAAATGCCTTAGAAAAGTCTAACAACACTAGAATTGTACTTTTACCAGTATCTGACTCGGATAGTTTGTCATCTGTGACTTGGTTGTGGGCTTCGGTTTCCGCATTTAGACTCAGAGTGGTCCTTTATGCGTCGAGGATTGGTTGACTAGGTGAGCCAGCCAAGCTCCTTCCAGAAGCGCAGAAGCCTCCTGGGGCGTTCACAGGCTTCTAGGAGCGACTTTATATCAGGAATGATACTTGCCTGTTGTGTGGCCACTCCCTCGCATTCCAGGACTACGTGGACGGCCGTTTCTTCAGCTTCCAGACATCCCCTGCACAGGGGACTGTCCGTCGCATTGATTATGAATAGTTGTCGGTTCAGGGCTAGATGTCCTGTAATAGTTCCGATAACCATTCTGATTTCCGGTCTGCTAAGACTGATCAGTCT